TTAATTAATTTCGCTTCCGTTTGCCTTTATTGTTGGGTGTTTCGTTTGGGTCGGCGACGCGTCCGGGACGTCGCGTTCAATACGACCGTGGAAGGGGTGTCGCGAGCCCGTTGGGGTTCGGGGCGTGACAGAAACTATGTCTCGAATTTAAGTAAATTTCCTAGTTTGATAGGTTCCCTTAAAAGGAAGTTTCCTATTTTGAATCCAACTCTCTTCTATATAAGAAGTGGGCTTTCCTCACGAAGAGCATTCAAGAGGAGTTTGTGCTTGTGAATTACATGCCGAGTGTTTGAACCCGTGAAAATCTTGTGTTAAGATTTTGTATACTTCCTTTATGAGATTAAGAGGTTCTTTTGCGGGGAATTGTGAGGACTAAACTTTGTGTGACAACAGCTAGCATTAATCTAGCACTCTTTCTTGGAGAAAATCGTGACAACTCGTGAACATCCAAGTGAATCCATTCTGCAATCTTTGTGGTTTCTCTAGCAGTATTACTGAAGTGCACTTTCCGTCGTTTGCCTAAGTCACAGTACACGCATATATTCAGTTTATCAGCCACATAACCACTCGGTAGATTCCTTTCACTCGAAACCTTTAGGTTTCTCTCACCAATGTGCAATGCTACAATTCAGACTATTGAACATATGCATCTGACGTCTTTGCGGCGAAATTCGTCAATGTCTCACCTTGAAGCTCACAAGCCATTGTGCTTGATTCCTTTCATTATTACTAAGGCACCTCGAATGACTTTCAGAATTCCTCTTCATCTTAAGGCAATCCCTTCTAAGATGCCCTCTCTTACCACAACTCCAACCTATAGCACCACTAATCCTAGATTGATTTCATTTGTTTAGCTGTGTACTGCTCCTACAACCACAAGTATTATTTTATCCACTACTTTCACATACTAAAGCAACAGGCATAGGCTCACCATATTTTCTTTTACGGATGTCCTCCTCAAAATCAAATCACGAATCTCATCAAAAGTCAAACTTATTGACCTAGAGGAATTACTAACAGTATTAAAAATAGTATTCCAACTATCAGATAATGAGGATTATAGATCCGAGCATATATCTCATCATCAAAGTCAATTTCAATGAAACTCAATTGTTTAAAGACCACATTGAATTCATGGTTATGATCAGCAGCTGACGCACCTTCGCCCATCTTTAAGTTAAACATACGTCACATTAAGTAGACATTGTTGATCGCAGAGTGTTTTTCGTACATGCTCGATAGGGCCTTCATCAAACAAGCAATGATCTTATCTTTGACGATATTAAACGCAACATTACGAGTCAACATTAGCCATATAACATCCAACACTTGTCTATCCAGCAATTCCTGATCAGCTTGCTTTATCAACTTAGGCTTTTTCCCAAACAAGGGTAAGTGCAGATTCCTTTAGTACAGGTAATTCTCAATCTGCATCTTCCAAAAACAAAAATCATTCCCATCAAATCTATTTATTCTGACTTTTCCTTCTTTTGTCATCTTCGATTCGCTTCAATCCAGCCAAACCTAGCTCTGATACTAATTGTTGCGGAAACAAGAAATCAAATTATAAAATATACAGGATAAGGAAATAAACAGATATTAGATTTACTTGATTCGGTTGGTGTAATCAACATCCATGAGTAGAGCAGCACAAAATTCAATTGTAGATCAAGCAAGACAACAAAGATTACAACCACACTCAAGCTACTCAAATACTCTTAAGGTGCGCATGGCAACGATTCTTTGCCCGGGAACTGATTCTGCTCAGAAATGATTCTTTTTTATTCCATGCCCGAGAATAATTTCTAAGCATTTGAAGGCGTTTGGTAACTATTCAAAATTTTTATTCTTAGAATAGAAAAAGAACAGAAATGTGTTTGGTAATTACATAAAATTTATTTTTATTAATAATATTTTAAAATTTTTTAATATTTCTTTCTATTTTTTTTTCCTTTTTTTTTTCTTTCTTTCCTTTCCCTTCCTTGGCCATGGCCGGTCGCCGGCGCCGGTGACCGGCCACATGCCAAGGCCGGCAAGGGCGGCTGCGAGGTCGACCTCGCCATGGCTGGGCGAGGTCGACCTCGCCATGGCCTCGCCGTCGCGACCGTGAGCCGCCCTCGCCGGCCTTGGCCTGTGGCCGGTCGCCAGTGGCCGGCGGCAGGCCGAAAGAAGAAAAACAAAAAACAAACCAAGAAAGAAGAAAAAAATCAAGAAGAATCAGAAATGGAAAAATTGTTTCCAGAATCAAGAAGCTACTTTTTTTTGCTTCTTAATTCTATTCCAAAACTGATTCTAGGAATAATTTTTTGCAAATTTGTGCCCGGGCTCAAAAATTTTAACAAACGGATTTCTGTTCCCAAACTGATTCTGGGAATAAAAGAACAGAAATTTTCACTGTTTGGCAACTTGCCAAACGGGCCCTTAGTATTTCCTAGTCCCTAATTGCACCCAACAACTCATATGGTGTTTAATCCTCGCAATTTCTCGTGAAATAATCTCTCAATCTCAGAAAAGATTTACACAAAATCATAATACAGATTTCCACAACTTCAAACACTTAGAATGTAATTCACGAGCACAAGCTTCTGTTGGATGCTCTTCACAAAGAAAGACCCACTACTTATATAGAAGAGAATTTGATTCAAAATAGGAAACTTCCTTTTAAGGAAATCTATGCATAATAGGGAACCAATCAAATTAGGAAACCTACTTCAATTAGGAAAGTTTTCTTTTCGAGTTCAAACTCGAGACATATTTTCAACATCCATCATGCTATAGTAAATAACAGTTGGCATGATGGTCCCATTACAAGCATATTTATCTTTGCGTACCTAATTAATATTCATAACTCATCAAACTTAATGGATTATCAATGTCATGAAGTGGATATGATGATTAACTAAGCCTAAACTTTGTAAAACTTAATTTAGAAGAATATCACCTATGATTTTGAGAATGGAGTGAATGAAGATGCGCTCAACATAATGATGAACTCATGTATTTGCAAGCAAGCAATATAATGTATACAAGATATATGTATAAACATAATATTGTACAATAATGGGATAAACTATAAGTGGATATTTAAACAACTAAATCATATCTAGGGCTCAAGAAAGAACCTGTTGTATAGCTTTATGAATTAATTAATTGATATTTGTGAATCATCCCTAGTCTACCTAGCATCATTTTTACCTTAGCATCTTTTTTCTCCCCTTCCGATAAATATTTACACCTATCCACAAGGACCACAATTTAAATCTTTCGTTTGATGATAACCTGTGAAGTGTGTGCAACAGATACAGTCAACGATCTATATCTCTTATATTTTCTGCGTTATGCAGGTTATGATTTTAGCCTATATCGACACATCAGCTGTGACGCTTGAATGGGCAATGTCAGAGCTACTCAACAATCTTCGGGTTCTAAAGAAAGCTGCTGAGGAGTTGGATAGTGTAATTGGTGAGCAACAATTGACAGATGAAGCCAACGCATCGATGCTTCTCTATCTATAAAACATTATATCTGAAACTCTGCGATTACATCCAGCAGCTCCACTTCTACTCCCACACATTTCCTCCGAGGATTGCTCCATAAGTGGATACGATGTCCCTCGTGACACCATAGTACTAGTCAACACATGGGCCATTCGTAGGGACCCAAAACTATGGGATGGCTCGACGAGTTTTAGGCCGGAGAGGTTTGAAAATGAAGTCGGGCCATACAAGTTGTTGCCATTCGGGGTTCGAAGGCAGGCATGTCCCGGAGCGGGATTAGCTCAACGGGTCATGAGCTTAGCTTTAGGGTCTTTGGTTCAATGTTTCGAATGGAAGAGGGTGAGCCAGGAATTGGTGGACATGACTGAAGGAAGAGGTGTGACCATGCCTAAGGTGGTGTCATTGGAGGCAATGTGCAAACCCCGTACGATCATGCCCAAGATTATGGGCCAATGAGTAGCTATCGACACATTGCTTGTCTTACTATTTATGTTTTTACCAAATGTGAGATGTAATGAAACTTGAAAGATTGGTAAATTTTAATAAGATAATGCAGCGTATTTAGACTCATTTATAACAGATAGCTTAATCTTTAGAATTATTATGACTTGGCTAATTATCCCATTAATTAGTTATCATTTTAATATTGATGATTAATTAAGAAAATCTAGAGAGAAAAAAGCCCAACCATGGATGTTAAAGACTTCTAGTTCTTTTAAATTGGAATGCATTAGTAATAGGACACATACATTCATGTGTGCATTGTGCACAACAGAAAAGAGGGGAAGAAAAAGGTAAATACAAAATTTGTAGTGGGTGGTTGACAAAATAATTACTTAACAATGATCATAACAATGTCAAATTATTTACTATAATCAAGTTTCTATATAGGATAAAAAATTTGGAAAAGTACTAAAAAAGTCTTAAACATATTGTATAGGTACCAATTCATTTCATCCGGTCAATTTAGGCCGAAAATCGCTGATGTGGACGCCGGCCATTCTATATGGCACAGCTGGCGGACGATTGGTACTAATGTCAATATATTTTAATAATTTTTTGTTCATTTCTTTTTTATTATTATTTTTTCCTTTTTCTTTCTTTTTTTCTTCATATTGGCCTTGGGTGAGACCATTGTGGCCTCACTGGCCACGGGTCCAGGGACTTCGCACCCCCATCAACTACAAGCAAGGTGGCCCTCACCGGCCAAAATGACAGGAAAAAAAAATAATCATTTTAAAAAAAATTTGTTCACATTAATGCCAGTCGTACCTAGTAGGATGGCTAGGGTCAACGTCAGCGATTTCTGACGAAAATTGGTCGGGATACTCATTGGCAAAATGTAAAAAGGTTTATGACTAAATTGACCCAATTGAAAAATTTAGTACTAGATCAGTTTTAGAGTGGACCGGTTCCACAAAATGGGAACCAGGAACCGCCCACTAGTTCCTGGACCCACTCAAGAACCAGACCACCGATCCGACCCAGTTCCCAGGTGGGTCCATGGAAATGGCCATTGCACAGCCTTACCATGTGCATTACGCCCCATTCTTCCTTCTCTTCCTATGCTCCGCCCACAACATAACCAAGATCCTCGTGGGCTTCCCCGAGAACTCATTCTTCAACTCCTACGTCAGCCAGACCAAGCTAGCTGACGAGATCAACAGTCGCCAAGCCATCATCATCCTCACCCTTGACAACGACACCATGTCCACCCTCGCCGACAAGAAGCCCATGTCTATCATCAAGAACGAGCTCGTCATCCATGTCGCCCTCGATTACTTTGACCCCAGAAGCTTAGACCTGTTAAACGGGTGGGTCGGGTCGGGTTTGGGTCGGGTCATAAATGGTCCGACCCAAATTGACCCATTAACCCGTTTATGACCCATTTATTCATAGTGTAAATATCTCGACCCATACCCAACCCATACCCGACCCGACCCATATTGCTAAAACACATTTATATTTAACATAATCTAGGAATACTTGTTTCTTATGATTTTTTTTTTTAAATTATACTGCTAAAACATTTTATGCAATACAAAGCTAGTAAAAAAATTTTATAATTTTTTTTAAAATTGAGGTTCTGTTTTTTTTACAAAAAATGCGACATTTCTAAAAAAATATTTTATATAAAGTCATTATCCAAGAAAATAAAAAAATTAATATTTTTTATTTTTTAAATCGAATTTTTAATTTTTTCTTTTCTTTTTTTTTCTTTTTTTCTTTTTCCTTTATTTTTGGCCGAACGCCGGCCGCCGTGGCCGGCGACCGACCCCAGGCGAGGACGAGCTCGCCGGAGGCCGGCGAAGCTCGTTCTCACAGATCTGGCGAGGCCGAGGCCTCGCCGGCCTCAGGCGAGGCTCCAGCCTCGCCGATCTGGCGAGACTCGAGCTCGCCGGCCTCAGGCGAGCTCGAGTCTCGCCAGATCGGCAAGGCTGGAGCCTCGCCACAGGTCGACAAGGCTGGAGCCTCGCCGGGATCGGGCGAGCCTCGAGGTCGCCGGAATCGGGCGAGCTCGAGGCTCGCCAAATCGGCGAGGCTCGAGCCTCGTCCGAGGCCGGCGAGGCTCGAGCCTCGTCCGAGGCCGGCGACCTCGAGCTTCGCCGGCCTCCGGCGAGGTCGTCCCGCCCCGGTGGCCGGTCGCCGTGGCCGACCACCGGCCGAAATAAAAAAAAAAAAAAGAAAAAGAAAGAAGAGAAAAGAAAAAATAAAAGAAAAGGAGAAAAAAATAATTAAATTTTGATTTTTTTTAAATATTTTTGTAAAGAAGGAGAGAGTGTGTGGATGGGTCTAGTAGGTGGGTTGGACATGGGTTCCAAACTCAACCCATTTAGACCCATTTATCTTTAAGCTTTAAAATTTAAAACCCATTTAAGGTTGGTTCTTTAAAATTAAAGTGACCCATATATGACCCATTTATTTTTAAATGGGTCATATATGGGTTTAAGACCCATTTTGACACTTCTACAGAAGCTCCACCAGATCCCCAAGGGCTCCACCCTCTCCACCACTCTAGACTAGATCATCGGGATGCGCCCGATAACACTAGCTTCGTCAACATCACTAACCTCCGGGGGGAAAAGGTCGGTTTTGGCGCCACCGCCCCCGACTGGCAGCTCAACTCATTGTACACCAAGTCGGTGAAGCAAATCGCCTACAACATCTCTGTCCTCCATATCAGTGCACCTATCATGTTCCCTGTAATCCTCGCCACCCCGGCACCGTCGGCCTCGGACGTGAATGTGACGGTGCTGCTTGAGAAGGCAAGGTGCAAGATGTTCGTGAGCCTCCTCATCTTGAGCTTTGAGAGAGAGCCAGCGAGCGAGAGAGAGCATGATTACGTGAGTGTGGAGAGTGAAGGAATTAGAGATTAGAGAAGGCCAAAGGAACTCTCTTAGGGTTTTAAAATGTAAAATTTAAAAAACAAAGATATATATATAGCGATCCAGTCTGGATCGTATGGGTGGATGGATCCGCACCTGAAACTGAGAATTGGACCGATATTCATCAGTTTCAATTTATTGGAACTGGGAACGGGGATAGTTTCCGGTATGGTCCGGTTCTTTTGCCCATCCCTACATTACAATACATTTTTTTGGTACTTTCCCCCGCGCAAAGTCCTAGCCCACCACTTGACCGGAGCTCCCACACCAACTTGGCAAGCTAGTCCATGGAGTCGGCCATTATTCACATTCAACAACTTAAAGAGAAAAATTGCTAAAAATTAGAGCTCGGATTGGTTTGGGTCCCAATCCAGCGAGCGGCGCACCTGACTCACCCACCTCCGCCTTTGCTTCTCTTTTTGGATCTTTCGATTAATTTTTTTTCTTATTTTTGACCTTTTTTCTGATGTGGCGCCCACACGGTGCCCTATCAAAGTCGTGCCATAGAAATTACTTGAAAAGAAAATTCATGTCAGTTTTTTCTTTACTAAAACTGGGCGAATCTAACAGGATTTATTAATTGCACTTATATGGACAATTTAAAGACTTGATTACATTATTCGAAAGTTTTAGATTTGATTGCTCTCAATAATTTTTGTGCCTTTTTTTTTTATTGGAGATGTATTGGGAAACGATTGATCAAGCATGCACCGCCAATGTAACATAAAAGTTCCACAAGCGGCTTTATCCATCATTGGTTTTATGGTTAATTAAAGAGTGGGTAGCTCCAACAATTAAATCAATGGTGGATTAATTGAGCATATATTTATTCACGGCTAGTCCAAGGAAACAGGACGTTCAAAAATGGCTCCTCAACCTTCCGAGGTTAAAAGGACGTTTGAAAATGGAAGAAGACACACACAAGCATCCAATATATTAATTTGAACAAATCGTAAGCCAACGTTTAAACAAGTAAACTCTGTTCAGTAAATAATGACAGCTTGCCACACACTTAAGAGATTAACTTTATAAATAAGTCTCAACACACTGCGTTATCATATGAAAGTGTACTTCTATCAAGTTTCATTACATTTTACAAATGGTATAAACATAAATAGTAGGACAAGCAATGTGTCCGTCGCTTCTCATTGATCGATAATGTTGGCCATGACGGTACGTGGTTTACACATGGCCTCCAAGGGCACCACCTTTGGCATAGTTATGCCTCTTCCTTCAGCCATGTCCACCAATTCCTCGCTCACTCTCTTCCATTCAAAACACTGAACCAAAGACCCTAAAGCTAAGCTCACTACCCGGTTAGCTAATCCGGCTCCGGGACATGCTCGCCTTCCACGCCCAAACGGCAACAACTTGTGGGGCCCGACTTCTCCATTTTCAAACCTCTCCGGCTTAAAACTCGTCGGGTCATCCCACAATCTTGGGTCCCTATGAATGGCCCATGCATTGACTAATACTATAGTATCACGAGATACGTTGTATCCACCTATGGAGCAATCCTCCGAGGACATGTGTGGGACGAGAAGTGGAGCTGCTGGATGTAATCGCAGGGTTTCGGATATAATGTTTTGTAGATAGGGAAGCTTCGATACGTTGGCTTCATCTACCAATTGCTGCTTGTCAATTACAGCATCCAACTCCTCAACAGCTTTCTTCAGAGCATGAGGATGATTGAGTAACTCCGACATTGCCCACTCAAGTGTCACAGCTGCAGTGTCTGTACCGGCTGAAAACATAACCTGTGTGGCGTGTAAAAAATGAAAATAACATATCTGATGTGTATCTAATGTAGCTTTGCCCCTTCAAATTTTGACTTAAGCACTTACAAACTCTAGCTGTGCATTTTAATGTTGGCTAACAGCCCTTCTAACTTATTTCGACTTATCTTAGAAAACTATTATTGGAATTCTCAAATCCAAATTAACCTACATATTATTATGGAGTAACGACAAGCCATGCTGGGTAACCAAAAATCAAATAAATGATCAAATAAATGGAGAAAAATATGACACAATACATATATCATAAGGTTGGAGGAATATCCAAATTATAAAGTTTACTACCTATAATTTTTTTTTCTCTTAATGCATAAATCCAAACAATCTTATATTATTCAGACCATTCATTCGAATTTCGATTTGCTTTTAACCTAATTCGTAATATTAATATGATACTTTAAGCGTATCCGATAAATGACTCCTAATGATGAAATTCTTTTTATAAATTACCCTTTTGTATGAAAAATAATTGCATCTAATGAAAGAACTTTTTTCTTTTGCCTACCGCAAATTAAGTGAATGCTATTGAATGTCATGCAAGGAGGCACGTATAATCTAATCTAGTCATCGAGCAAAATTGCCCTATACGTGAAAATCCTTATTCAGATGTAACCTATAATAATAAGACTAATTCATTCGAATTATTGGATTTAGCGAGTGGCAACATTCGCTCGTCTGAGTTCTACCCAGACCCAGGCAACCACGCTCGACCTCCGTCGTCCCTCACTCGGCCATCACTTGTCATCCCTCCGCGTCCTCACCTATGTCGCTCGTCTCCCCCTCTCTGCCTTCATACCAACAGGGGTTGGATTCTGAGGGTGGCGCCACTGCTCGAATCTCTCTTGAACCGAAGGTTCCCCCGCCTCAGACGACCTTCCATCTAAGTCCCATGAGGCCAGTGATCTCTGCAGAGTGAGAGACCGAGCGCGGGTGGTGGTGGTGCTGCTGGGACGTGACGCAACACACGGTGGGTGTACCCCTCGGTTATGGCGGTTAGGCGAAGAGGACGACGGGGCGACGGAGACGGCTGCTGCGGTGCAGCGGGCAGGAGGGCATCGGGAGGGGAAGGACAGAAGAGGAAAAGAAGAAAAAGAAAATGGACAAAAAGAAAGAAAGAAAGACGACAAAATAAACTCACGTTCTTGTGGATTTTCAATCTGATGGGAATTATAGAAGTAGAGGAAGTAAGATGTCGGATCACCTACTATTCGCACCTTACTCTAAACACGACGTCCCGTCAAACTTTTATTTGGCCATTTTTCTTGTTTCTATATCTAAGAGACGTCTCAAGCAATTTTAGTTTACTGGCCCTCTTGTTCATCTCAAGAAAGTCTACATGAATAGATAACGCTACGTCCATGAAGTTCCTCCGCTTGCTTCACTAATCAGTACGAAGCTTCTAGTTTAAGAATTTAATTTGTGGAAAATCAACATGCTTCACTACGTTCATGAGAGAGTGTGATCTAATTACCATAGTTTCAGTAACACTCTACCAAATTGACCTTGCCTGTAATATAAACCATGACCTATAATATGCGTCATATTGATGATAAAACCAACTGATAAGGATCAGACAGAAAGATTTGGAGTTATCTACCTACCAGCATAAGCCCTTTGATGATCTGGTCAGTGTAATACTCCGGTTGTGACTCCTGCAACGACAGCAAGTGATCCACCATAGTGCTCTTGCTCTCTGAACCACCACAACCATAATTCTTATCACTTTTTCTGAATTCTTCAATCAAGTTTTGCAAGAACTTGTCCGTTCTTTTGCTGAGCCTCAACACTCTCTTCTCGAAACCCCTGAAGACCCACCTCAAAACCCCCAAGAAGTCCCCTGGATTCGAAGCCCCGCCGTACATCGCGATCTCCTTCAGTATCTCCCGGAACGACGCTGCCTCCTCAACATCACTCACGTCCTCACCATAGTATCTCTTCCCAGCCACCATCCGCACTATGATGTTAAACGTCAGCTCTGAGAGCATCGATTTTAGTTCCACCTTTGTGAAGCCCTCATCAAGCGCTTGATCACTGGATGAGATCTTGTGGAGTTTTAGGAGGAGCCGCTTGATTTCGTTCCTCCGGATGGGCAAGAAGCCATCGAGGCGGGTGGAGGAGAAGATCTCGAGGGCGCAGATGCGGCGGAGGTTGCGCCAGTGGTCACCGTAAGGGGAGGAGATGACGGTGGTGGCGTTGTAGCCGAGGTGCTTGTTGAGGAGAAAGGCAGGGCGGTTGGCGAGCACGACGTCGTTTGCGGTGAAGCACTCTTCAGCGATTTCCGCTGACGAGACGGCGACCACCTGGCGGGAGCCCAAGCGGAGAGAGAAGATGGGCCCGTAGGTTTGGGAGAGGGCGTGGAGGGTGTGGTGGAGGGGGAATTTCAGGAGGTGGAGGTGGCCGATGATGGGGATGGCAGGCGGACTTGGTGGCAGGTTTTTGGGCTGGTTTAGCCATTGGGACAAGAGTTTGAGAGTGATAAAGAGGAGGAGAGCCAGAGGAAAGAAGGTGGAGGATGGAGAAAGTTCCATCTTTGGGTTTGAATAAATGGATGAGTTTGGAGAGGATGAGCAAGATGAATGTACTAGGGTTTTTTGGGTGAGGTGTTAATGAAGGAAAGAAAATGAAACACTCAAGAAAAGTGTTTTCCTTTTTTTTTTTCGGCTCATCAACATCCACAAGCATTTTTTTATTCTTTTTCTCAAACTATTCATCCAACCACTATACTAAGGACAACAGGTGTGGCTCTGAAAATCATCAATTCTGGGCCATGAGTTAAACTATGCCTCAATATACGACAGATGATGATGCGCTTTGAGTGGACATCCCTTTGGCACGCGTGTGGGACCAATTTCCTAAAGGTAATTTTCTCCATTATTCCAAATTTAGGTCGTAGATGTGGATAAGAGAAGTATACAAAATGCTCAAAAGCTAAAAGAATGGATAAGTCGATCGCGAAAGTGCTGAATGATCGGAAAACGGGGAAAGTCAACTTAAATAGGGGTGAGGATCGGATCCGATTAACGTTGTTGACACCTCAATTTATAAAAAAAAAAATACAAAATACAAAATCAGAAAATACAAAAAATATATATAGCAGAAATGAAAAAATAGCAAAACAAAAAATATAGTAACGAAAAATAGCAAAAATAAAAGGGCCATGAGAATAAAGAAATATATATATATAAAGAAAGAAAGGAGGAATTTCCACAAAAAAAAAAAGAAAAGAAAAAGAGCCAGAGCTGGCTTCTTCCTTCTCACTAGCGTCGGTGTTGTTCGTTACTTCGGAAGTGCGAGTCGGTGTTGTTCGTCACCGTTTAGCCGCACCAGAGAACTCCCAGACCTATCGCGTTCCTGTTCGTAGACGATGTTGAAGACTTCCTTCCAAACCAGGTGAGACTTCTTTCTTGTGTGTACGCTAATTTGGCCGAGAGAAGCTGATCCGATTGCTGAGTTTGTAAAAAATCTTGCTAAAATGCGACTGATCTGTTATAGAATAACTTGATTTAGATGCTTACACATCGCTTCTCGATTGAGAATCATGTTCAAATCAAACTGGAAGTTCGTCCTTTAAGTCGCGCAACACCTGTTTGACAAAATGCTTCAATGAAGAACCGAATTGATTTTTGTGAAATCGATGCTTGGAGCTCGTTCTTTTGTTCTTGATTTTCTCTTTGATTGATGAATCAATACTGAATCCGTGTTCTTCCTTGATTCTGTGGCATTCATGTATAACGGTTCGGCCATGGATGAGACTTCCGTCGGAGATATATTCCCCTCGCCGGAGCTAAGCCAGCGGTTTGAGGCCGCCACAGTGAGTTCTCTATCCTTGTTTCGTGTGTTCACGTGTGTTTAGATTTAGCGTGTTTGATTAGATGAAGATTGGTGACCGATTGAATAAGAGGCTCTGTTTTTTTATTATGGCCGGTGTGTGATGAGGGACGACGGTGGCTGTAAGTTGTAGTCAACGGAAGTTCGGCGGTCGCTGGAATAGATGGCTGACGGCGACGGTTAGAGAATCCGTGGTAATAGATTCCCGACGGTTTTGGTGAAGTGAGTGGAGAAACTTCGGTGAAGGCGTGAAGAAGAAGACCGGAAAAATAGAAATAAAAAATAAAAAGAAGAAGAAACAAAAAAGGGAAATAAAGAAATAAAAAATAGAAAATAGGGATAAAAAAAAAAAGGGAAATAAATCAGAGTCGGGTCAGATCTTGTTACTCGGGTCAGATTTGAGGTCGGGTTGGAGGCTGGGCTGCAAAAAGGGTTCAATGTTGGTGTGATTGGGCTAAAATGAATTAAACAAAAGAAGTTAGAAACTTGGGCTTGATTTGTTGTGATGGCCCATCAGAAGAGACCCAAATTCAAACTGGGCCCAAGGACTGGTCCGAATTGCGAGTCTGACCCGGACTGCTAGAGTCCGGATCAGACTGGCTAATTAGACCGGGTTCCTTGACCGGGTCCGGAGTTTTCTTTTTTCGAAATAAAAAATAAAAAAATAAAAAATTTCAGAAGATTCAGAAAAATAAAAAATGTGAGAAAAGCTAAAAAAATGTAGAATTCTCTTAGTTTATTATCATGATCCAAGGTTTCAAAAAGTGAGTAGTCATCACATATTTTGCCCTTCTTAGGAAACTCATTTTCTAAGAATGTGACATATCGTTATTCAAATTCAGTAATACTCCCACTTTCTTGTTCACCTATAAACACATACCCTTTCGAGTGCTCTGAGTATCTTATGAAAATACTCTTCTTGCCTCTGGGACTCAATTTCTCATATTTGTGAGAGGGCTCGTGAGTATAAGCAGCACAACCCCAAGGTTTAAGAAAACTTAAATCGGGTTTTCTACGTGTCCATAACTCATACAGAGTGGAAGTAACTGATTTAGAAGGCACGCGGTTAAGTACATAAGCAACAGTTAACAAAGCATCATCCCAAAAAGTGATAGGTAAGTTAGCTTGTGCCATCATAGACCTAACCATTTCTAATAGGGTTCTGTTTCCCCTCTCGGCAACACCATTTTGTTGAGGAGTATATGGAATAGACAACTGTTTTTTAATTCCTTTTTATCACATAAATTTATGAACTCATCAGATAAATATTCTCAACCTCGATCGGATCTAAACATTTTTATTTGCTTAATTTTCTACAAGTTCATAAATTTCTTGAAGCAACTTAATGCCTCAGATTTATGAGAAATCAAATAGACATATCCAAATCGAGTATAATCATCTATGAATGTGATGAAATACACAGCCCCAAGCCTTGCTCTTACATTCATTGGACCACAGATGTCAGAATAGATTAGTTGCAAAGGAAACTCAGCTCTTGTACCCTTTCCGAATGGTTTCCTTGTTATTTTCCCCGCCAGGCAATGCTCGTAAATAGGCAAATCAACTTTTTCAATATTACCTAATAAGCCCTCTTTAGCTAATCTTTGCATTCGTTGTTGGCCAATATGACCAAGTTTAGCATGCCACACATTCACATCATTTTCATAGGAATTGAAAGATGCAAATAGGGAATAACAAACGTTGACATCACCATAGTTAACATTTAATACAATAAAACCATCCAGAAAGTATCCACAACCATAGTAATTCGTATTCAAATACAAATCAACATCACTATTATGGAAGTTCAAATTAAAACCAAGTTTAACCAACACTAATACAGACACTAAATTCTGACGAATCTCTGGAGCATATAATACGTCATGTAGGAACAATGTGCGTTCACCACGCATCATCAACTGGCAGGTGTGAATCCCTTTAACTTCAGCTTTGGAGTTGTTCCCTACATAGATCCATTTTGTTCCGGTCGGAACCTGTCGGAACTCCACGAAGGCATCTCTGTCCTTCGCTACATGGTCTGTTGCTCCCGAATCTACGGTCCACAAAGGATTAGACTCAGTTAAAAATACAGAACTTGACACATAGGCAAATTTCTCAAAAATGCAAGGGAAGTTTATCTTCTTTGGCTCGCCACAATCGCGAGCGAAGTGGCCTTTCTTGCTACAGTTGTAGCATTTCACCCTCGACATCTTCTTAACAAAAGAACGCTTTTCCTTTGTCATGTTGATTAAATTTTGGTTTCTTACCCAAAGAACTTGCTCCCTTGCCTTTCCACTTCATGAACCTTTCGACGCGCTTGCGCTTGGAGCCCGAAGCCCCATGTGAGCTAGAACCAGCATAATAGATGTCGGTTTCTGGTTTCTGGTTTCGCCACCATGAGACGATCCTCTTCTAACTCAAGATGGCGCATGGCATCTTCAAAGGTCTTGATGTTCTCATTATGGGTCAGGTGCACCTTCATGTGCTCCCAGCTTTGAGGCAAGGAACGAATTACTGCTTGCACTTGCTGTTCATCAATCAGAATGTGTCCAGCATCCTTCAGCTCAATGATCATGTTCGACATCTTTCTCAGGTGTTGTTTCATAGACTGATCATGAGACTTCTTATACGAGTCAAACCTTATAGTGAGCTGTCTCAGCTTGGTCATCGACGTATGACCAAATCTTGCTGCTAATGCTTCCCACATTTCCTTGACATTCTCAAAACGCCTGAACTCTCGCATGATATCATTCTCCATGCTACTCAGCAACGTGATGCGAGCAATCGAGTTCTTCTTCTTCCATGCAGCAAATGCATCTCTGTCTCTCTTATTCTGTGCAGTGTTCTCATCCTCAGGTTATTCCATAAGTTGGTTAAGAGCTCCTAGCACTTCTTGTTCTTTTAGCACATATTGGATTTTCATGTTCCATATTTCATAATTTTCGCCATTCAATTTCTCTCATTTATTCAATTCAACCACTATGTTCTTAGTTACTGAAGTCATGGTATCTGAACATTTCAGACATATAGCACGAATTATTAATGCCACTCATTTATGCATCAGTTTTACACAAACTGATTATATTAATAAGTAGTTTCACATAGTTTTTAGATTCGAAAGTTCACTATGTTCACAATCATCATCTAAAATCCTAATATGAAATTTTCGTTAATATAACCATTAAGGTAAAATTACATTCTTTAAAGTTACTAAAACTTTTAGAATTCCCACTCAATCAGATAATATTAATAAGATAAATATTATAATAGAATAGTACCATAAACTATTCATAACAGAAAATAGCCATCAACATCTATTCATTAAAAACTATTTACATGAGGAACAAATCCATCATAGGAAAGAAACAAGAATGCCAACATGAATAGTAATATCCACCTAGGATATCTAAAACCAAACTAAAATAAAATAAAATCAACGGTTTATCAATTTCCTATACACAGGGAAAGATTTATCAATTTTTTTTAAAAATAAATCTTCTTCTTTGGCAACCAAGAAAATACTGTCGGGTATCCCTTAAGCTTTCTCCATGGCACATTCATTCTTCGCCAAGTTGTATTCATCCCTAGGGTCGAAGTCTTTGTTGCCTCAATCCTATAATATTCTCTCACAAAATCCATTGCATGTTTTTTGTAAGCTGGGACCACGTTGACCTCCCATAGTTGATGCAACACCTTTTGCCACTCAAATGGAAGATTGTTGATCGGATTATTCATCTTCTCAAAGTCCGGCATACAATAACCATTCTAGATGATTTTCTGTATCATCTTATTGACCTTGACCACGTGATTCTCCAAATCACCACTTTCCCATCGATAAACATCTAATTCAGCTCTCAACGCTGCAAGTCTTGCCTTTTGTTCAGGCGTCCTAGCCATAATGGGGGTTCGATAACTTCGTACCATCTTTCTTGCAACAAATGTAGAAAAAATCAAAGGATTACTTTTTAATCCATGATACTATATCGCAAGAAACACATTCTACCCCCCTTCAGCCCCCTTTTTTTTCGGTGGTCAATGCTGGTCAACGGTAGTCAACGCAGGTCAACGGTAGTTAACACCGGTCAACGGTCAACGGATGACCGGGTCGGGTCCACAAGTCAAACGGGTCCACGGGTCGGGTCATCGGGTCGGATCAGACTAACCGAGTCGGTCTTCCGGGTCGAGCAGGGTCTTCGGCCCAGGAGACTAACCGCGTAGCTGACGTCAGCCACGTACATACGCGCATGCTTGGCGCGTGCAGCGCACGTGCGCGCGGTAACCGCTGCGCACGTGCGACGCACGTGCCGGCGAGTTGCCGCTTGCGGCGGCGCGTGGAGGCGCGTCCGGCCTCCCCCGGAGGCGTGCCACCCATCGTTTTTCTCGTCTTGACGAGCATTACGACCCTACACTTTCAAAAATAAATTTTGACACAAAAATCGAGAAACGACTTTGAACAGTACGGCCGGGTGTCGATTTTTCGTACCCGAGCGTTCGTCGACGCCATTTCACGAATTCCGGTCAACAATCCATTTTATAAACACGTTAAACGATCAAGAAACAAGAACACATGCTCTGATACCAATGAAGGAAACAGATTCCTAGAAATTGCGAAAAAACGGGAAACACATTCTCTAAAGCACATTGCAAAACGCAGAAAACGTGCCCATTCTATACTTGAATCACCGATCGAACAAAGCATATTACGTAAACGAACATACCTCTTTACTACAGATTAAATGCACCTATTGCAGCCTCGAGAGAGAGAGCGATCCTTCAATTGTCGAGTAAAATCGCTTTTTGATTTCAAGTGAGTGAGAGTTTTCTAATAGTGAACCAAAACCACTTACAGAACCCACGTAAGTTTTTCTTCTTCTCACTTTTGTTCCCACAAGATAACTGCCATTTGCGGTTATTTTCTTTCATGGGCTCTTTCAAGATTAATGGGCTGAGTTAGCCCATCATGGGCAGCCCGTTTATTCACAAAACCCATCAGAGGCAAACCATCGGACGAGGGGGAGGCAGAGGGCGGAGATGCTCGAGCCAAGAACCACAACGAATGGCTGTTTACAGAAGACAGAAAAGCTTCAGATCAACCGAGAACTGTATGAATCAAAGACGATCGATTCCTTGTTTCCTCTTATCAGTTCATGTGAGGCACGACGCACAAGGTGTCGCTCAATCTGTGCAGAATAATACTTACTGAGAAAGTGCAAATCAAGATTCATCCATTGTCATCACTCCATGTGAGACGCTGCGTGTTCATCCTCCCATTCTCATGCCACCTGCTTGACATTATTCAAAGAGAACAAATGTATAAAACTTTAAGCAATGATACAGAAGCTGAGAGGAAGTTAATCATTCAACTTCGCAACCTCGCATCTCAAAAACTTTCAGGTAATACCCCCTCTTCCAATGAGAGCTCTGACCATGAGGTCCTTTCCTTCAAAGATACCCTATTTTTCTCACCGGTCGTGCATTGGAGATGAAGATGATGAAGAAGAAGAAGAAGATAAAAGAAGATGAAGAAAAAGATGTTTATTTTGATTTCTCTATGAAAAATTCGGTCTAGTCCGGGTGGTCTGGTTCCCACCTTGGAACCAGGAACCGGATCGGAGCCTTTGAGAACCACCCATAACCGGCCGGTTTGGTCCGGTCCGAGTGGTTCCCGTTGCACACTCCTACTTTTTTTTTTTTTTTGGTCGAAGCACACCCCTACTTTCACGTGCAATAACATTGGTAATATTATGTTGACACATATTTTTAATTACCCAATTAAATTACACAAAACTAGGAATTAAATTCTTGATTCCTAAAACAAAAATATTTTCATTTAATTGCATGACATGTAGACTTTAGGTGTATTTTGCATTATTAAAATATACATATTTTTCTTTCAAAAAAATCATCATCAACAGTGAAACAAGATCGGGACGGGTCAGGACTAGGCCCAACCCGGCCCTCTCTTCCTTTTCCCTCTAGGGCCCGGCACCCTCTCTCTTCCTTTCCCCTCTCTCCACCCTTCTTCCCTCTCGCTCTCTCCTCTGTCTCCGTGGATGAGCGACAACCGAGCGAAGGAGAGCGCTCCTCAACCAAGTAAAAACACACGGCCAGGGAGAAGTCAAGGGCAGAGCAGAGGCTGTGCGGTCCAGGAGGAGGGAGAAGGTGGCCACCGGCCGCCATAAAGCCGAAGAGAGAGGGGAGGGGGGGGCGGGGAAGCTCGGTTTTGGTGAGCAAGATCTAGAGAGGAGAAGAGAGAGATCCAGAGAGAGAAAAGGAGCAAGACAGAGGGACGGAGAGTCCCTCCGACGACCACTGCTTCTCAGCCGCGGCTGATGTCCCCCTTTGGCCGCGTCTCTTCCCCGTGCCGAGCCTCGATAAATCCCGGTTCGCCGTTTTTTGCTTTTATTTGATTCGGGATCGTTTTCGCCGAGGATCCCGGCTCGGCGGCGTTAAGACGGCCACCCATGACCTAAGTCGTCTCAGGCTCGACTCTTAGCCACCGCCGCCGAGCCGGGTAAGGCCGGCGACCACCGCGCCCCTGTTTTGCTCCGTCGACCCCTCTCTGTTTGGGCCCTGTTTTTTTGGGCGGCTCGGACCGTAGCTCGTGGCCGTCCGGCACACGCGGCTTCGGTTCCCGTCCGTCCCATGCCTAACTGTGGTTTGCGTCCTGTTCATGTGTCGAGTTCGGATCGGGTATGAGTCTCGGTTGAGTCGAAAATCCGTCGTTTTTTGGAGTGCCCGTTACCTGTTTGTTGCAATGCCTCAATTAGATCCGGTTTTTGTTTTCCCGTTTTGGTCGAGGTCGAGTCGTCTGGACACCGGTTGGTCTGGTTGAGGGGTCCCGGTGATGTTTGCGCTTCTGAGTGTTGGCCATCTCCGTCGAGGCCTAGAGGAACGAGCGGCGCGGGATGTAGAGCGTCGCGGGTGAGAAGGAGGCGAGTCGAGCAGGCGGCGACACGGGCGGAGGAGTGGCGCTGGGTTCATATCACGGCGGCGAGGCGACGGTGGCTCTGGCGTCGGCGTGCGGCGGCGGCAGGTGAAACACCGCGAGCGCTAGGGCGAAGCCGCGAAGGCAGAGCGTCGCGGGTGAATAGGAAGAGAAGTCGGGTCTGTAGCTGCGGGAATCCGGGTCGGATCCGGGTTGGGCGAGGAACCCGACCCGGTTTCCTAAAAACAATCTCTTTTTCTTTAGTCTAGTGGGCTGGGCTGGATTAGAAAATAGGATTTGGGCCGGGTTTAGTTCATGTAATTTTTTTTAGAGGTTTGGGACCTTTTTTGTGAGCTAGACCGGGCCCGCGAATTAGGCCCGATCCGGCTATGGGTCGACGAACTTGGGTCGGGTGTGGGATCCGACCCGGATCCGTTTATAATATAATATATTATTATTACAATATAATATTATAATTTAATATTTAAAAAATCTTTAAAAAATAAAAAAAATCGTTTTTTAAATTTCTTTTAAAATTAGGAAATAGGTTAGAAATTAGTATTTTTAAATAATTTTCTAAATTATGTGAATTATTTGATTAATAATCATGTTTAAATTGGATAAGTCTATAGGGTTATACGGTAGAATTTTACGTGTTATTTTTATTACTATTGTTATTATTATTATGCATGTTGTTTCTAATTAGAATATAATTTCATAAATTGTCCTATGTTGAATGTTGTTGCCTTAGTTAGGGATAGAATTTTAGATTGCATATCTAGTTTGACTGCTAATCGTTAAATATTGTGCACTCGCATGATTACCTTACACGTTAGGAGACAAGTCTTAAAAACAATTCGAATTGCCTGTCCAGTATTTCTGAAATGAGCAGGATGTAAGGTACTGAAAGGGTACTAGTCATTCAATTAGGGTAACCAAGTCCCCAAACTCACTTAATCTCTTGTTCGTAGGAGTAGGGTGATTCTCCCATCATCTTACTTAGGTTTTTAATCAACCCACCCCAAATTGATTAGTGGCGATTCCTAGATAAAAATCTTTTGCAAGTTAAAAATCTAAACCACAAGTTGCGATATGATATGGGTTTGGGAGAGCCCGAATTAAGTCCCAGACATAGACTTAGCATTAGCGCGTACCAGGCTACGCCATATTCCCTCCTTCTGAGGAAAAATTTGGCGGGGCGCGACATATTATATATTTGAATAATCCGAATCTAGAACTTGAAACGATCAAAGGATACAATTTCATTTGGTTGGGTTTTGGAGACTATCAAGTGGGTCAAACCGATACCAAACTTCTGTTATCTTCCACACCTTTGAATTTTAAACGTTTTTGTGTAATAAAATACTTTTTTTTTCTAATAATATATCTCGTTTGAGTGGGTAGGTCATTTACATTTTCCTGTTCTCTTTTACTTAGAATATAAATTTCTTGTAAATGTCTAGATGTTAAAGACTTGGTCGTCCTTTTGGTTAGGAATGCATTTGGTCTGGGACACCCACGTTCACGTGTGCATTATCCACATAAGAAAAGAGGAAAAGAAAAGGTAATCGTAATGCTACTGTCGAAGTGGGTGGTTGACAAAAAGAAAGAGTTACGGAAAAAGTGCGATAATGAAGAGACTTAACAATGATCATAAAAATATCGAATTATGTTATCATAATCTAGTTTTCTATGGGCTTAAGAATGGAACTTCATGGACAATTATCATAATGAAAAATTGCCAAATAATATCAATATAAGTATATAATTACAAAGTTGCCTCTTAGTTTTGCTCTTAGTTGTGTTACGTAGAATTGTAGTTTACCAAAAATTGCCTTCACCACACTGCAAGAAGAGGTTTTACCGCTTTCTCCACATAAGTAGTACCTCGGAGACGCCACCTTAGCCAATCATTCAAATTTGCAAGCTATTAATTTAATTCCTTTGCATATTTATAGCTTATGTAAATGTCCATTCGCTGTTCAATTAATCTTCTCTGGAAGATTATAACCTTTTCTAATAATCTAATTCTTCTCAGAAAGACTATAAACTTTCCTAATTGTCTAATAGCGCAAGCTTTGCTATGTAAAATCAACCTTTTACCATTGCTTAATGTACTCAAAAAGTATTTTCCTTATGTATAATCGCATATGCAAGGCAATTATTTTGTGTATAAAACGAGGTTAGTAGAGAGGGTATTAGGAAGATTAGTAGAAGCGGCATCCTTAATCAACTTTTCACATGCACGTGACACGTGGCAAAACACTAGTGCATCATGCGACAGAATAAGAGTCATCGATAGTGATATAGACTTAGAGACAATTTCCGTTGGAATATACAGCCAAATAATTTATAAAATTCTGATGTCTATTTTAGTACATAAATATCTTTTTCGAAAACATTTTGTAGGGTCTCTAGTATCTTTCTGGCGGCTATCAGGCGCATGCTATACCTCGTAAATGCTAAAAACCATCGTACAACCTATTCAGTCATGCCAATTTCGCAAGTTTCGTAAAATTCACAGGTTCTCCTGCCCAAGCATGGTACTTGTACAACTTGTTGATGGAAACATATAAGAGGTTGCCATTCAAACCTGCAAATACAGATAATATTCCTTGACCAGTAGAAAATGTCTTCTTTCTATAGAAAGCAAATCCTATCCTCAATTTCAACCTTTTCGAATTTTTTCCTAAAAATTTAGCCAAAGCCCCGGACGATTACCGATGTACAAATTGCTTTTGCATGTTGAATTTAATGGGTAAAGATGTAAATTGTCTATAAAACTCAATGAAATGTCCCAAATCTTATAAAAAGGTATTTCTTGTGTATTATATTCGAAATTCAGACCTTAGAGTTACAATCCAAAACTTTGTTTCTTTACATCTTAAATTAAAATTTATGTAAGTTACATGTAGCTGAGAAGTATTAAAATCATCTAGGTTTTCACCTAACAAGTTGAAACTTCTTAGCTTGGTCATCTTGACTCAACAACCCAAGGAACTCACCTGCTCCAGCCACAAATAAGGAATATTTTATGTATAACTCGATGTATATTGTGCTTATATAAATACACACATTAAGCAAGCGGCCGCCCAGGGAAGTAAACAAGACGACCCCTTTCGTTAACCCCTCCATTATCCCAAACATCATCACCGAAAATCAACTTGGATCAAGCAAAAACCAAACAAAAATGGAGAATTACAACTTGCTATTCTTGTTCACAACCTCTCTAATGATCATCGCACTCACTCACAAGCTCTTGCGCAGATTAATCACAAGAACGCCCAAAAAGAACCACCCTCCAAGCCCGCCTTCCCTCCCCGTCGTCGGCCACCTCCACCATCTCAAGAAGCCTGTCCACCGGACCCTCCTCGCTCTCTCCCGCACCTATGGCCCCATCCTCTCCCTCCGCTTCGGCGTCCGCCCCATCGTCATCGTTTCCTCCGTGTCCGTCGCCGAGGAATGCTTCACCCAGAACGACGTCGTCCTTGCAAACCGACCCAGGTTCATCATCGGCAAGTACCTTGGGTACAACTACACCACCGTTGCCGGCGCCCCCTACGGCGATCACTGGCGCAACCTCCGCCGAATCGGTGCCGTTGAGATATTCTCCTCACACCGCCTTGACACATCGCTCGGAATCCGCAAGGATGAGGTCAAGCGCCTCATGAGGAAGCTGCTCAGGTGCCAAAGCAGCGACAGCTTTGCAAGGGTGGAGCTGAGGGCGGCCCTTACGGAGCTGACATTCAACGTGATGATGAGGATGATGGCGGGGAAGAGGTACTACGGGGAGGACGTGAGCGACGTGGAGGAGGCAGCGACCTTCAGGGACATCATCAAGGAGATCGTGAAGTACTCAGGGAGCTCATATCCCGGGGACTTCCTGCCGCCACTCAGGTGGATTGACTACGGCGGATACATGAAGAGGATGTTCAAGCTCGGGAAGAAGACGGACGGGTTCTTGCAGGGGCTGATCGACGACCATCGGAAGAAGAAGGAGAGGGAGGAGGAGAAGAAGAGCACGATCGATCACTTGCTGGCGATGCAGGCGTCGCAGCCGGAGTATTACACGGACGAGATCATCAAGGGGTTCTTGCTGGTGAGTTTTTCTTATCTGGTCTCGAGAGGTTTTTGGATGGTTGCTTGTTTTGATCTCTTTGGTTCTTTTCCAATTATTTTGTCGGTATCTTATTGTCGATGAGCTGCCTGCGATGCGACCGTGGTCCTCTAGATTGTTAAGTTTTTGGTTTCATTGACGGGAAGTAGCGAGCGGAAAACCCAACCAATGAAATTTTAACAATTTACCGACCCATATGAATCTTAAATTATTATAGTTTAGATAATATGGTATATAAACGGTACAATAACTTCTTGGTAGGGTAGAATTTAGATAGTTAAGAAATGAAAATTCATGTACCTGTGGATAATACATACCATAAGTGCAATTTTTCACACTATAAACATTTTGTGTCTAGGTCACTTATTCAAATTTGAGCCCACATTTTATAGGATCTATAAAGTTAGTTCGATATTTTAATGGGTATGGAACTAACTTTCGATGTGCTTTCACCATAAAACATATTATTCCGTCTCTTTTCGTCCAAATATGATACTTATACTAATTTTTAAATATTTTTTTTTTGATAAATTGCAACTCGGTGGACTTGCTTTATCAATTTTTCTCTGCCAATAAGTGAGCCTGCTTTTGACTTTGGCAAAATAGGGGAAGCCCACTTGACAAATAAATAGAGTATTTTGTTTTCCCTTCTTTGATCGGTAAAACCGGCGTTAGAGCTGGACGAAAAGTTGGAAAATCACGTTGTCGTTATCGTTTTCGATGCGAGCTTTAACCACGTGGTGATTAATATGGTGCTTATAATAAAAAATATGACAAACTGATCCAATTCTTGGTCCAATTCTTAAGCTAAAAAAGTCTTGTTTCATTATTGTTTTAATCTCTAGTTTCTTGAGCTGAACGATACAGTTCTAGTTAGAATCGATATTCGGAAATATTCTACCCTGCGTTCAATTTTTATGCACAAACCTAAGTGGAACTCTCCGAGTATTTTGAGGTTCCTTGACCAAAAGCTTTTTTCATTGTAGTGATTCTCCTTGTGAGTTGGTGAATTTTGAAAAACAACCGTTGCTTGAATGTCAAGCTTACCAAATTTATGTTGAAAATTAGGATTTTAATATGTTACGCAGCATGCGTAACTTATTGCTACACAATCTATATCCTTTATCATTGATATGCATAGTTATGACTTTTTGGAAGAGATATATATAGCTTTAGTTTGAAAAACTGACTTATCCAAATCGATGGTGATGGATAAGAGCCATCCAAAATATGAGTTACTCAATCCAAGGAGGCATGATCCAGTGTATTTTAAACTAGCAGACACTTCTGATTGCTGGAACTGATACATCATCTGTCACAATGGAGTGGGCGCTTGCCAATTTGCTCAACCATCCCAATATCTTAGAAAAGGCAAGAACAGAGATAGACTCCCAAGTTGGCCAGGATCATTTGATAGACGAATCAGATCTCGCGAAGCTACTTTTCCTTCGTAACATTATCTCAGAGACACTTCGGTTACACCCACCCGTCCCACTTCTCATACCCCACTACTCATCAGATGATTGCAAAATAGGAGGGTACGACGTGCCCCGCGACACAATTGTGATGATCAATGCTTGGGCCATTCACCGAGACCCCGAACAATGGCCCGATCCGACGGCCTTCAAGCCAGAAAGGTTCGAAGGTGGTGATGGTCAAATGAATAGGTTGATATTGCCTTTTGGGTTGGGGAGGAGAGCATGTCCCGGTGCACCTTTGGCTCATAAAATGGTTGGCTTGGCTTTGGCTTCACTCATTCAATGCTTTGAATGGAAGAGGACTGGTGAAGAGGAAGTTGACATGAATGAGGGTGAAGGTCTAACAATGCCCAAGGAAAAGCCATTGGAAGCATTGTGCAAAGCACGTGAGATCGTGAATAGAGTTCTCTCTTAATCATCTCATGATGTCTGAGGGTAGCTCATTTACGTTGTAGTTTTCGATAACAGGTTATTTTTAATGATGTACTATTGTGCTAGCATTTGATTCCTTTTGTATTAGTTCATAATTGAACATGGCAGGCCCTTATTTCAACAACTTTCGAAAGAGGCAGTCTCTCTATCACGAAATTAGACATAGATGAAATGTCCATATTCATATTCCAATACTTCCCCTTTTTTTATAGACAAAAATTTACTGAGAGTCCTACATTTCATATCGTTTTCTATTTGTATAATCAAGTGCACGTGCAGTCTGAGTCTCTACTAGAGCATGCCTATGTGGCTGCCGAAAATTATGTGTGCGGCAACCTTAAAGATTGTTATGATACGAGATCGCTAGGCAGTAATCGGAAGTATTTAATTACATCCTTTCAAGAAAATTTAGGTCCACTTGTACCAACTGAGAAATTTTAGAATTTTATTACATGTCATACTTAAAGTTCAAAAGTTGCACGAATTGATAAAAACATATTTGAGGTAAAACCAAGATGAAGTAAGAAGTCGTATGGTTACGTTTACATAAACTGTTTTTCTTTTCTTGAAAGTAAAAGAGTAATTTTCTTGCTGAAAACACCATGTGGATGACTATGAATTAAATCAATTTCTTAAAAAATAAAAACCAACATAATCCATTGTCTTAGAAGAAAAAAATTGTTTTTTATATTTATAAAAGTGATTTTGGTTATATCTAATTACTTAGATTAACAAAGGAAAATGATTGCGTATATCTCTTCAAACTTAGAACCTGTTCTTCACCACAAAAAAGGTGAGAGATTTTAGTGCCTTTGAAGTTATAATGAGTGATGAGATTACAATTTCAATGACAGCCGTATGTCATTGTTAGTAATGGAGAATTCTATCATATGATGTCATGAAAGCTATCGACATCTTTGAAATTTTTGCTCCTCTTTTTATAATTGAAACTTTTTATAACCAGTTTTGATGATGTCTTGAATGGAGAGTGAAATTTTTTAATGGTATGAAGAAATAAATGTGTTACTTTTGTTAGTTCTAACTAATTGATATTTATTTTTACTATATACTTTATGAAAGATACAATGGTAATATAAATAAAAACAAAATTGCTAGCATTTCGACATTACAATCATAGTTTAGTGAAATGAAGCTAAAAAAAAATTTATTATTTGGCATAACCTAATGTTGCTTTTTAATCAAAAGAACATTTAATTAAACTAATAACGAGTTCATTGATTTTCTATCTATAAATGAAAACAAATATAAACGTAACCAAAAAGGCCCAAGATTTCAATGTGATTTTGTTTTTAGTCAAAGTAGTCTCACGTATTGCATACTTTCATCATTCTTACGATTATTTTAACAGTTACTTTTCAATTATTTGAATACTTATGGCTTCAAAATAGTTTATTTTCATTTATTTGACTATATACATGTTTCCTGATTTTTTTTTTAAAAGAAGGCGGTAGTTTATTAGCTATTAAGTTTCTTTTATTTTGGGTATAAGCAGCATTTGGCAGAGATATCAAAATTGTAGTTGTTCTGGTTTTTTTTTTATGATATTTTATTTGTCATTAATTCTCTTTTATTTGGAGTGTAGAGACACATTTGACAGAGATGCTAATATCTTGTGTCATAAGATGCTTATGTCTAGTCTTATTTTAATCTTTTTTTTTTTGGCTGATTTGAAGGAATTGTCACATGGCCCACTGTTTGTTTAAGATGTTTGTCGTGAAGTTTCACTTTAATAATAATAGAGTCTGACATCATATAGCATGGTCGTCTTGATTCTAATTTCTTAAAGAACCCAAAAAACAACTCCCATCCCATGACTCACGAGCCTATATTATAGACAAAAATACAGGCACCGTATTTTTTTTAATAAATCAAGAACAAATATACATCCAGAGTTCAAAGTCAGAAAGCCATTCATGTCGATCAAGAACCTTTTCTTCAAGTTAAACCTCTCACTTCTTCAACCCACATTAATTGACGTCAACTTAAGTCAAGCAGAAACCAAACATGGAGGAACAAAACGTGCTGTTAGTATTATTCATAATCTCTCTAATAACCATAGTTTGCACACACTAGATCTTGCACAGGTCAATCACAAGAACGCCCAAAAAGAACCACCCTCCAAGCCCACCCTGTGTCCCCATCATCGGCCTCCTCCTCAGCCTAAAGAAGCCCGTCCACCGGTGTGACATCCTCAAATTCGACCCTATTCGGAATGTAATGAAATGATGATTTTAATCGATGCACTATTAGTAATTCTCACTCTGAATTGATCACTCATGAGAGACTAACCGAGAGGGAAAGGCTGTTAAGGAATTAAGTACGCACGACCTGAAAACTCGACCAGGGATTGACAATTCGACCATAAGGATTGACGAGGGACAATTTTGAGCCAGTATAGACCGATCAAGGGATGGTTATAGAACGATTCGCCAATAGCATACAATCGGATTGCGGGTGATTCCGCTTGACCGTTGTATGTATTGCGAACGATCCTAAACCCATTGACTGATGATCGCGTACTTTGGAACTAGCGATTGATCCCTCGCAATTACATGACAATCGAAATCATCCATGGTTCGAGAAAACTTAAATGTGGTTTGATACCGAATCAACCACAGGTCGAATTCGCATAACTCCTTAAAGCCGCCCGTTAGTCTGAGATATACTAAAGTCGCAATTGATTGATTTTTACCAAGAATTAGAATCCGAATTTGGATGTCGAATCTCCGAGGATTTCAAAACTAAATTATTGGACACCGCCTCATTGATTTGATCGTTTATCGGTTTGCTCGAAATTCTCGGAAAAGGATTTAACGGACCGAGAATTTGAGCCCACGAGGAAGAGGGCCAGACGAAGGCACATTGGGCCTCAAGCCCAATGTGATTCGGCCATTTGGGCCCAAGGCAAGCCCAAGTGTGCCAATGAGGCCCATTAAGCCATTAAGCCCAATTTCAAGCCCAAGTTGAACCCATTAGCATTTTCAAGCCCATTCCTAATCCGTTTGAGCCCAAATTTGATTTATACGAGTCCGTACAAAATTCTAGCTCGTATATGCGTATAAATATTTTTATACCTTGTGAAATTACCAAAATACCATTCTAGCTTTTATGATAAAGAAACAAAGGCATTTAAGAGAGAGAAGACTTTTGTGCATTTTTGAATGATGAAAGAGGACTTTGAAGGCTTGCCTTAAGTGAGAGAAATATCTCTCTTTTGTCTCTCTTTCCTCACTCTCTCTCATTTCACGTCCACCCCCTCCTCTCTCTTTTCTATCTCTCCATTTTCCTCTCAATTTTCACTCTTCTTCCCCCTTTTCTTCCTTTCTCGGCCAAACCAGCAGAACAGCCTTTGGGCTGCTTTACACCACCACTGAACCACCAGCAGCTCGCCGTGTTCTCCTGGAGCCGTGCACCGCCCGTTCAAGCCTTTTTCCGCCGCCGGTTCAAGGCCGCCGAGCCAAAAACAGCCGCCCCAAAGCTGCTGTCCAGCCAAGACCCAGTCGTCGTCGTCTTTCCGTGTCAATTCCGGACCATGCAAAGCGTAGCCTTCGCCGCCGCCGACGCACCGGTGTCTCCGGAATTTTAAACGGGTGAGTTATCGCCCTAATCCCTCGCTTAGTAGGTTAAACTTGATTAGAGCGGATTAGTTAAGTTAATTGTGCTTAGTACTAATTGATTAGGGATTAGTGATAATCTATTGGATTAATTATATTATTAATTTATTAATTTTCGGAAATTAAATAATAATATTTTATTAATTTTCGGAATTAAAAATATTTTTATTTTATTAATATTTTTATGGAAATTCCGAAATTAAATTGTGTTTATTTTAGGCTTAAATTGTGATGCCTAAGCTCGAATTTGCCTTATATATTGGTTTGTATGCCAAATTGAATTGTTTGGTTAATTTTAAGTATAGCATGTCGGGTACTTAATTAATAAACCCTGAGGTGTCGGGTTTATTTGTTAAGTTTATGTGAGAAATATGTTGTGGATACTTGAATATAGAAGCATGCCAAGTTTGGGAATTTATTGATATGTGCATAATCACGTGTGAATATTTTAGTACATTTTTATGTGTGAAAGTTGGATATTTCAACGTATTAGCACGGATTATGTTTGCATCGGCTATTGAAAATTATAATGATGGAACCTGAGTGTTGCTATGTGTGCATGATCACCTAAAGGTTCCTTTCGTGCCCGGTTATATCGGAAAATCGTATACCGGATGGCCGCCAACCTAGGGTTTGGCCGTGGCCCTAACGGGTGTCCCCAATTTGGTAATTGGAAGCCGTCGCTGGTAGCAGGGGAGACGTAGTTATTCACGAATCGGATTCGAAATGAACCAATTTATGGGATATGTCGTCATTGTGGTCGGGTGAGACGATGCCGTGCCCGATGGGGCGGGATGATGCCCGGTTATGCCGGAAGACTGCCAACCTGAGGCGAATATCGCGGGTTGTGCCGTAGCCCCTGGTGTGGCTGTAGTAATTGGAATACGCGTGAAAAATTATGGTAGCATTGCGCTTGATTATGGAATGAAATTGTTAGGCACAGTATAGGACGGGCCGAAGCGGTTTCACTTTATAATCAGGACACGTGTGAATGCATTGTACTTGGAAAAATTGATGCGTATTCTGATTGTATTATATGCTTATTGCATTATTATGACATACGGTGAATCATAATGTACAGGGCGTGTGCATGTGCCCAGGGCAAGGTAAGGTTGCATGTGATTGTGTTGTGAAGTACCTGTATGTTCTATATTGAGTTGTCTGCCAACGATGTATCGTTGCATGTGTTAAGTACATCCGAGATGAGTTGACCTCCTAGTCGAGGCTTAGGTCGTGAACTCGCTGAGATTTATCTCATTTGTTGTTGTTAACCACTTTTCAGGTCATCCGATATGAGTACACGTACCGTTCCTTGGGAACCGACTTTTTGAGGGAGAATACCTTTTGAGGTTATCCTCGTAGATAGAGGAGCTAGGTTAACCCCTACCTATTATGGTTGTAATCGGGAAGGTCCGCGTGGTGGACTTGTAATATATTAACCCGATGTATTGCTGATGATGTTGTTTAAATTGAGGTGTGTTTTCCTGACTATCCCTGTTGTTGTGATTGGAAGTTTTTAGTTCGCTTCCGCATGCGTTTAATCGTTAGTAATTCGATTGGGTCGGCGATGCATCCTGGGATGTCGCATTTATAACGACCTTGGTGGGATGTTAGCGCACTCGAGGGTCGGGGCGTGACAACCGGACCCTCCACGCCCTCTCCCGAACCCACGGCCCCATCATCTACCTCCACCCTGGTGTCCGCCGCATCCTTGTCATCTCCTCGAGGTCGCTCGTCAAAGAATGCTTCACTCGGAATGACACTGTCCTCGCAAACTGCCCAAACTTTCTTCTCAGCAAGCACATCAGCTACAACTACTCCGTGGTCTCGGCCGCCCCCTGTGGTGACCACTGGCGCAACCTCTGCCACATCATCACCACCCAGATCGTCTCCTCGCACAGCCTTGACGCATCCCTCAACATCCGAAGGGAAGAAGTCGGGCGCCTCCTCCTGAAACTCGGGCGCAACAGATTGGCTAGCGGCTTCGCAAGAGTTGAGCTGAAGTCGACGTTGATGGACCTGCCGCTCAACATGATGATGAGGGTCATGGCAGGGAAGAGGTACTACGGGGAGGACGTGACTGATGTCGAGGAAGCGAAGGCATTCAGGGACATGATCGAGGAGGTTATGGGGTTCGCCATGACACTTTATCCATCAGATTATCTGCCAGCTCTAAGATGGATTGATTGGCGGGGGTATGTGAAGAGGGGGTCTGACGTCGGGAAGAAGATGGATCGGTTGCTGCAGGTACTGGTTGACGAACACAGGAAGACGGAGGAGAAGAAGGAGAAGAGCATGATCGATCACCTCCTGTGGTTGCAGGCATCGCAGCCGGAGTATTACACAGACGAGATCATCAAGGGTTTCGTGCAGGTGACCGCTCTTTCTCTCCCTCTTTGCTTAGCTTCTTATGATTTGTTTGGCATTTCGAAGAATGCACCCGTAATTTTGCTCGAAATCAAAAGCATCGCTGTGAAAGAAATCGTGAACTGAGATAAATAAAGAGAGAGAAGAGAAATTGACACCAGGAAGTATGGGGTTTAGTAGGATTAACCTGTCCAACAGGTAGAGCGGCAGCAATAAATTCTCCATGTATACAACGGATAGAGTGATAAAAGAGGAGAAAGGATTTAAAGATGCACTTTCTATTTGCTAAGGGTGATTGAGATCAAGACATGAAAACACAATATAACATTTTAAAATGGCCAGACAATCCTTGTTGCTGGAACCGACACATCTTCAGTCACAATGGAGTGGGCACTCGCCAATTTGCTTAATCACCCCAACATCTTGGAGAAGGCAAAAGCAGAGATTGACTCCCAAATCGGTCATAATCGTTTAGTTGATGAAGGAGATCTTCCCAGGTTACCTTATATTCAGAATATCGTCTCAGAAACACTTTCGATTACACCCACCAGCTCCACTTCTTGTACCACACTATTCATCAGATGACTGCGAAATAGGAGGCTACAGCGTGTCGAGAGGCACAATGGTACTATTTAATGCTTGGGCCATTCACAGAGACCCGGAACACTGGTCCGACCTGACGAGCTTCAAGCCTGAAAGATTTGAAAGCGGTGAAGATAAAATGAATAGGTTGATGTTGCCTTTTGGGTTGGGGAGAAGAGCATGCCCTGGTGCACAGTTGGCTCATAAGATGGTGGGCTTAACTTTGGCTTCCCTAATTCAGTGCTTTGAATGGAAGAGGATTGGGGAAGAGGAAGTTGACATGGTTGAGGGTGAAGGGTTGACAATGCCCAAGAAAAAGCCATTGGAAGCATTGTACAAACCACGCGAAATCATGGACAGAGTTCTGTCTCAGTCATCTAATACTTAACGTATGGAGGTGGCCCAGTACTTTAGAGTTTCCGATGACGGGTTGGTTTTGATAATGTAATAGAGTGGCTCGTTTTTCTAGGATTAATGTTAGCGTAGGAGTGTGGCTTTGTTTTAACCGATAATTGTCGTAAAAACTATGTGCACGATTGATGTACGATGCAGTTTTACCACATTTGAGAAGAATAATTTCTCTGACATGATATTAGACAGAGGTTAGATGCTCGAATTCCAACTCTCCCCTTTATTGTTATTGAAAATAATTTATGAACAGTCTGAAACTTTGTGAGTGGAACAGAATCGTTTCCAATTAGGAATAATCAAGTTCTAACCACACTTTTAGGTTTGGTATTTATTGGGAGGTTCATAAATTCCTTTTAGGTTTGGTATTTTAATTTTTATTAACCACACTTGTAAGAAATTGGTGTGTCTACTAATTTAGTGCAGTGTTGGTAAATTTATTATAGGGGCGGGTACATGACTCTTGCACAATTTCTGATGAGTTGATAATTTACTATAAAACTCGATAATGTTGATAACATATTAAACAGATTATGTAACAAGCCAAATTATCCACCAACTTTTCTTACCAACAGTATTGACAACCAGCATGGAAGTTCTCAAATTTTAGGCCTACGGACGCTAGAATTTTTCCGGTTGTGCTTGTGGGAATTTAAAAAGTGATTAAAAGTTTCACTTTCAATATGATTAATTTGTTTTGCCATAGGAATGTGCTCTCGGAAACTCCCCTGTCAAAGTCACGGATAGATACACATCTATAATACATGACTCTTGCTTCTTTTATTTGGAGATGAAGATTTCTCTGCGCAAAAAGAAAATGTAATCATCGAAGACATTAAATCATATGCACGTTTAGAGTATCCTCTCAGAAACTTCCCCGTTCATGATCTTTCGTCCAAGCCCACCTTATATATGTGGTTTTCATAATACAAAGACAGACACAGCAACAAATAGTGTTGGACATTATCATTGCACTTTTAGGTCTTATGAAATTCAACAATAGCTCATAGAGTTTTCATCCATTCAACAAAGTTACTGAAGTTTTTGTGAGATTTGCCGCCTTCCTCAATGCCCTTTGCGAGTTTCTCCTTGATGTCCAAAGCTCTTTTACTGAAGTTCTCATCATCGAGCAATTGATCCACCTTGCGCTTGATTTCTTCTCTCCTTATGATCTTGCTCTCGTCTCGATCGAATCTCAAACCAACCCTCCACAAGTCACATATGTAGTTCTCATTAAGGAACTGATCGGCAAAGTATGGCCAGCACAAGAAAGGGATGCCGTTGCTTGCTCCTTCCATGGTGGAGTTCCAACCGCAATGGCTCATGAAACAGGCGATGGCAGGATGAGCCAGGACTTTTTGCTGCGGAGCCCAACCAACCAATTTCCCTCGACCCGAGATCCTCTCTTTGAACCCTTTTGGGTACGCATCATCTTTCTGTTCGGTGGTGTCAGGACGAACAACCCATAGGATTGGCCTGTTGCAGAGTTCAAGCCCCAAGGCCAGTTCCTGGAATTGGGTTTGGTCAAAAACCGTGAAACTGCCAAAAGCAACATAAATGACAGACTTTGGGGGTTGTTGGTCCAGCCATATCAAACAGTCCGAGTCTTCGGGCCAGAAGTATCCGGCTGAGCTATTGAGCCGGTGGTTCGCCAAGAGTGGGCCGATAGGCAGGATCCTACGAGCGAAGCCGAGGGCTGCAGGCTCTAGGTCACAGGACGTGTTGCCTATAAACCAGTCTGCGAGTTCCACGGTTTTGCTGATTCTGACCATAACATTGAACATGATTTTCTGTGTAGCTACATCGCCAATGCAGGCCCAAGTAAAGTTTGCCGGGCTCATGTCAGGCATGCCGGGTGCCAGTTGAAACTTCTGATGTTTAATCACTACTCCTGAGAGCAGGCAGAATGAGGAACAGCAAATAGAAAAAAGTCAAGACGACGAATGATGAGGATAGTGAAAATTCATCGACTCTAATGCAGTATGTCAGCGCATTACTATATTAGGCTTATCATGTAGCTCAGTTTGATGTTTCTGGCCATGGAGTGGACCGTTGGATGAAAGGGCATTGTAGGCTCTTGCCAATGAACTATCCTCTCAGTAAATTGCCAAAATATTCTTTTTACAAAGAAAGTTTTGAATGACTAAGTGTTAGATTCGATTTCAAAGTTCATCAGTATGGCATCAAATTTCCTTTTAGTTTTGTGTATCATCTCCTAGAAGTGAGATAGTGTTAAGCAAGTAAGCTCATAGACTTAATCACACTATGATTTCTCTACCGATGCATTACCCTGTTATACATAGCATAAATTTCATCGCACCTTCATCATCGATGATTCCATCACTGATCATCTTCGGAATGCTCAATCCCGATGCGAAGAGCGCAATGGATGCCGGCCAGAATGCAGCTTTAGGAATCTTCATCTTATGCGCAACTTCCAGAGCCCACTCAATGCTCCCATCAGCAAGGACACAGGTGATTTTCTCTCCTTTTTCCTCGGTCTCTCGTATGAGTTCCGCTAGCTTCCCGGACATGACCTGGGACATCGCTTCCACTAGTATTCCTAGATCATTCCTATCTTGCTCAGGTTCCAACCCGTCGGGAATGGAAACTAAACGGATGTTACCTCCAAGAGAATCCTTGTCCGCGAGTGCATCGATGACCCTTTTGTGAATGAAGTCCGAGTTCACGAATGTAACTCGAATCCCACAGTCGACAAGGCGTTTCGAGACCTCCATAAGAGGAATCACGTGACCTTGTGCGGGAAAAGGTATGGCCAGAACATGTGGGATGCTCATTGTGGTACTACCTTTCGATCTTAGCAATGCTACGATTTCAGATTCATGTCTATTTATAAGAGGCTCCAAAGTGGCGGGCCTAGGGGGGGCCAGTGGTGGTCGCCGACCCCTAGGTCCAATTTTCTTTTACATCTATGGTGTTTAAGTGAAAGTTTTGTTTGGCCATCTTGAACCTCGAATTCTCAGTCCGCCGTCGGCTCCCAAGTAATGTTGTGAAGAGCTAAAGCACTCGAGAACTATGTCTTCTTATGCACCAGATTTTTCCTCTTGCCCTTTCCCTTGAACTTTTTCTGTCATATTTGTCCTTTTATTTCTGGATTGCTTCTTTGCTCCTTGTTGGATTTTGTCCTTTCATCTATGTCTAACAAGGGTGACTTCAATTGCATCGACCGCAGGTATATACTTTAATAAATGTGAAATGAATGCAAGTGACCTACTATTTTACTACTTAAGTTTAAAAGTTGATGAGTTTATTTAACGATAATAATCATTGTCCGTTGTCTTGCCATGCTGGGAACTTATCATTTGTCCTTTCCATACAAGGAAATAATCATTTGTCTATTCACAAGTAGGCATATAAGGCAATCATGTAATGAGATATCGATGTGACTCCACTCCATCGACAATTTCAGAGTTGCATAATGCATTAGTAGTTAGAACCCTCCTTCTCAAAAAGAGAATCTTATTTGGACCCGGATGCATATATATCATGTTCACCCCAATCACTGATCGCATGGATAACACATGATCAAAAGATGAGATGGGTCCGACCCCTCTATGCATTTTCAGACAAGTCTTTTCCATCAAAACATGAAAAGCATTTCATTAAAAAGATGAGTGTTGAGTATTAATGCTGGCAATTAATTTACGACTCAAACCTATTCACAAGACTTGTAATTTATTGCGATTGCGTTGTCCACGTGATTATGAAATCAACTTGTTTATGCACGAACAATAAACTTGTGAGTATACAGGTTGACATTAGTATCCAATAAATGAATCATATCAAGTTAACACTTAGGATTCACTTCGAGAAAACTACCAAAACAATTCTATGCCTATTACAATTGTAACAATTCAGTCCTAAACCTTTTTTTTGCTATTTCAATCGTAAACTTTTTACATTTGTGCCAATTTAGTCCATCCGGCCAACTTTAGCCAGCCGACACTAACGTGGCAATTTTTTCAATATTTTTAATTTTTTTTCAAATATTTTATTTTCCTTTCTTTTTCCTTTTTTTTTTTCTTTCCTTCTTCCCCAGGACGGTCACCAGACCGATAGCACCTAAGTCTATCACCCATTTTGTCACGTTGGCCACAATATTGGCTTAAGAAATGACCGCAACAATTATGTATCAGAATCATTTGTTTTAACCAAGTTGACTTTTGGTTTAGCGCGATTGTCATTTCCCCGCAAATTTTTTTTTTTTGGTTGATTTCCAATTTACAGATCTTCACCAAAGGTAAACACATTTCCTATAGTGGATTTTGTCTCATTGGAATCTAAAGTTAGCATCAATGTATCCTTATAATACAGCAAAAAATCCACTATATAAAATGTAATAGTTTTTTATTCACATGGCTGCAAAATTACAACTCCAAAGTCCATATTTGACCTCCATATCTTTCTTTTTGGTCCACACTTTTTGCTTATTTAGTCTCACACACGTAAAACACCGCAGTAAATTCTCATACAACAATTTACATGACAGTTGCAAGGATAACTAAATTAATATCACATTGTTCATTTCCAGAAATTAGTCGACACATTGCCAGTCAACATTTATCATTAATTGAATTCTAATCAAATGACCGAAACATGAACGACACAAAAAGATGGCAAGCAGCAAGTTCGAGAACATCCTAAAACTAAGTGCCAATGAAAAAACAATGGCAACAACACATGACGTTTATCGTCACATGAACAAACCATATAACATGCGCTACAATGGATGGAGCGTATGCAGCTTGACTGCCCACGAGCAACCACCCTCGAAGCAAATCGGATAGTCAAAAAAGTGAGCCTCCACATAGTTCAAAACTTCAAAATTGGATGAACAGAAGTCACAGTCACCAAACTTATCTGAAAGAAGTAACAGCAATAGATGTAATTGAAAAACAACAAGCCGAATCTTCAACAGTTTGAGAGGCGCAAGGAGGCGGCACTGCTATAAGCTTTCAAGCTCCAACCTTTTCCACCAAGTGAACATGGCAATATCAAATATAATTGAGGAAATTCATGCAATGCAAGACACTGAGTTCTAGATCTATCTATAGCGTGCTCTCATCTCTCGGTCAAAACCCATAACTGCAGAATCCAAAACTTTAGAAATGTCGCAATCAATCAAAACCTCAAAACCATGCTTCATTGTGCATATTTACTCAAAGAGAAGAGAGAGATAGAGGACATCTGCTTACAATATAATTATCACGAACTTAGAGAGAGAGAACACCAACACACATCCAACTCCCTCTCGGAAAAACAAAGTATCAAAGCCCCAAAGAACGATTTTACTTTACACTCAATAATCTTTCCGAAATGATCAAAAACTCTTTTGTGTTGATGTTCAATAATGCCCCACGACAAACTGCCACGAATATGCGATACTTGTCCTTTACCATTGCCGAGTCCTCATTCAATTCCAACAGCAATGATAGTAGCTAGTTTGGGAATCCATAAGGGATTATCCTTATGATTGTTGAAAAAATACTAGTGTTGACACCCAAAATTATCCCTGGTGGGAGGGGGCCGTTTACAAGTTACAAAAGATATAAAGTATGGTCCACATGGCGAAAATCCAAAAAAGGCCGCAAGTCAGGCCCAGAGGCATTAAGAAGACCTAAGGTAATTATTGACAGGACACGTCATAGAGGTGTCGACAAGTTCAAAATCACGAGCCTTGCACGTGACATCGATAAGTTCAAGATCACAAGCCTTGCACGTGACGTCGACGAATCCAAGATCACGAGCTTTGCACGTGACGTCGACGAATCCAAGATCACGAGCTTTGCACGGAATCATGGTAATACGTGGCGAAAAATTCATTTACACGTGTCAAAAGGTAAAGATATGACCATGGGCGTGAAGATCAAGGAAGAAATAAAGAGACACGTGGAAGAAAATTAGCTATTACGTGATGCCCAAGGAGCGTAAGAAATGTCGACAAGTCAGGAAACGGTTAAAGCGCGAAACGTAAGGAAATGGAAAACGACTATCAAGGAGAAGTGTTCGGTCAACAGTTATCAAGCTGCTCTATAAATACTCAAGGATTTCCAACGTAGAGAGAACTTCGAAGAAAACACAACACATCTTTTATCTAGCATTTATCCTTAACGCATTAGGAGTAGTTTTAGTTGCAACTTTCAGATTCTTTGTCGTAGATTCAATTCCGACGAGGGTCTTTATCAGGTTCAACATTGTTGATTAGATTCCAATGTTGTGCCACCAGTTCAGCATCGTCGATTAAATTCCGGCGTTGTACTTAGAGTATAGCTGTTGATTAGATTCCAGCCATATTCTTTCAAGTTACGTCATTGATTAAATTCTGGTGTACTTTGAATGTATTGTCGAGTTTGGCATCATATCAAGTCAGGGTGTAAGATCTATTGGGATTAATAAACGCATTTGACATTCTCTGTCCAAGCTTGACTCAAGACCCTGGTCTCCCTTAATAAAATCCAAAACGCAGCGTTCGGTGAAAGATTTTCGACGGAGTAAAAATCGGCGAAACATCTTTTTGGCACCCCCGGTGGGACCTTTATTGAGCTAAGTAGAGAGAGTGCTATGCCACGCACCCGGAGTAGAACTAACTCGGATAATACTACTAACGAACAAGCTGCATCGATGGTTAAAGATAATACCCGTGCTGAGACATCATCTGCTCAACTTCTTCATACCGAGGTTGCTAACTAATCTCGAGAGGAGGTCACAGATATGTTGAGGCAACGTGTTGAAGATAGAAGGCAAACTGAGCTCACACTAGTTGCACTTTCTACCATGAGGCGGACTATTGAAGAAACTCAGAACGAGTTCGCTGATTATGTGGTAAGGCGTATGATTGATGTGGTTAGACCTTTGATCATTAACACTTATCATGAATGCACACAAAGCCAACATGGAGGGTCCATCGTACCGACACAACTAAGAACAGGGTCTCCATCAGCATTGGGGGGTCCTCCAATATAGTTTGGAACAATGATGCAAACTACGTCTACAATCCCACCCATTCGAATATTATCAAGGGGCGAAACCTTGCCAATAGCACCAAGCGAAGGATTACCGCACTCTAGCGCGGATCCAAATGGAGGAATCGCTCGACAATCGGTTATCGATGAAAACCTCCAAAGAGGACATCAGGTTGCTCAGATACAAGGCCCCCCTATCATCCAGGAAAAAGACAAAAGGTATGGTCGACGGGGTGAAGTTCGTTAGGCTGATGCTGACGAAAGCAAGGATGAAACCGAATCAACAGATATAGCTAATGTGGCTCTCGCGAAAATGGTGATTGATAAGCCATATATCTGCAAAGCTCTAAAGCCAGCAAGAGTTAGAGAAAAATCCAACCTCATGTCCAAGGCTAAGGAACCCATTTTTTATTCTTTCGATATCAATAAGACAGAGGAAATATTTGACTTATTATTAGCTGACGGACAGATTAGGCTGACGGAAGGTCAAATTTTACCCACCAAAGAAGAATTAGCGGGAAAGAAGTATTGCAAATGGCATCATTCATGGAGCCATGCCACCAATGACTGCCTTGTATTTAAAAGAAACGTCCAGGAAGCTATTAAACAAGGGAAGATAAAATTCTCTGAGGACAAAGGTAAGTCCCCGATGGAAGTTGATGTCGATCATTTTCCTGTAATGGCAGGGATGGTGTCATTAAGGACAAAGACCAGGGGGCATCAGCCATGTCGTTTTTGCGAAAAGTGTAAATGACTGTTGGAACAAGAGAAACATTACTCCAAAAGTCGAAGACGTCCACCTAGTGAGGTTGTCA